GAAATAAATATAATAGAGATGTGTGGTTATAGAGATGTTATTTTATTAGTAATGTTAACTTAGTTATATTTAGAAAAAGAATAATTATTGAGATCCACCACCATCATGTTATACACCAATACCTATCTTTGCGTCGTTTCGTTTTGCGTTTTTTTCAAAGTTGCGTTGTTTTGGATTCGAGTCTTTAATTTTTTTTTCCCTAAATATGGCACCACTTTTGTTTTTGATTGCGCCATGCCATCAAAATTTGGGGATTCCCTTTCTAACTAAAAATCAACGCAAATTTAATACAATTTTATTTTCAGAAAATTTATTTTCACTTTGCGTCGTGTTTTTTTTTTTTTTTTTTGGAACGTAACCCCGACGCAAAGCGAGGTATGGGTGTATATATGTTTATATATAATGATTGCTGTGGTTGGGAAATAGAGTAAAAGAGGCATCTCCGCACAGAGTATTTAAAAAGGGTGATATTAATGATTATTAAGATATTAAAATCATTGAGCAACGATACATTGGTCTTTGGAATCAACATATGATGGCGTGATGACAAACAAGCAAAATATAATAGACTTCACAGAAAAAATCTTCAAATCCATGAGAGAATATAATTTTTTTATTACTTCCTAAATATTACTGCATCTTTATAAATAATGTATATTAAACCAAATAAAATGTTTTTTTTTCGCATACACAGCTTTTTTTAAGACCTTCCATCTTATATATAAAACAATTCTGATAATTTTGAAAAAGAAAGGGAAATAAATTAGATTTTTAAATGAAAATTTATATGGATATAGAGTAAGCAGTTTGATAAAGATATATATCTAAGGGCAGGTATCGAAGTAAAATATATACACATGCATATATGTATAATATTGTTTCTTCATTTGCACTATTTTTGGCGCATTTATTTATATAGTAATAAGTTTAATATCATAACCTTTCCTCCAATAGATGAATATCATGGGGGTAAAAGGCATTATATCCTTAACTTAACAAATTGAGCTAATCAAATATTGATACCACGTTAATCAGCACAAAGAGTTAACCCAGAAAATGTTTTGTTTATTTGAGGAGGAGATTTTTTTTTTCATTTTGTGTACTAGTGTAATCGTTTTCTCCATGAAATATTTGCATGCAGCCCATGGAGATGGCCATAAACTGGATGTTCTTCCGTGTGTAACGGTTGTGGAACTGTACAAATCTCCTCAAGAGATGATATATCACTGGCTTTATCCCCTGGGTCAAGACGCTTGATCTTCTCTGGAGGAGATACATGGAAATGATAAGAAAGTCTTCCTTCAGCGATATGTCTTTTATTTTTAATATGGAAATCTTATATCTCAACTACAAAACTGACGTTGAACGTTTTCTGAATGGTAACACGAGAGCAACATGAAGCTTTAACATATAAATCTCTTTAATTAAAAAGGCATATATTGGATCAAAATATCATTTATTTTACCAATATTTCAGTTGGCTGAACGTCAACCTTTATCAAGGTGTTATAACATTTTACACATTTCACACACCACACATTTCACACTTTAAAATGTTATAACACCTTGATAAAGGTTGGCGTTCAGCCAACTGAAATATTGATAAAATAAATGATATTTTGATCCAATATATGCCTCTTTAATTAAAGATTTATATATGGATTGCTCTATTTTCAAAAAATATAAATCTCTATAAAGCTTTAATATAAATATATATATTATGAATATTTTGTTTTGTTGTTGAAAAAGATAGAATTGGAGGTGCAGTCGTGAAAAATAGGAAATAAATTATTTACTTATATATATATCAAGTAATTTTTATTTTGAATTACTTGAATAAAATTATACATAAAATTATTTATCACAGTAATATAGAATTTATAAAATGAATCCTATATTCGTGAATTAAAAAAGGTAGCTTAACTATACATATTTATAACAATTATTCAAAGTGGTATATTCTAAATCTATGGTCAAAAAATGTACAACAGTCAATGAATGAAAATAAAATATATGTTTTTAAAAAATAAAATAATTGCATTTTAGATTATATAATATATATATTGCCACGTGGAAAATTAGGGAAGTCAAACTTCAAGATGAGACAGCAATTTATTTAAGGCGAGAATAAACTAAGAATGATAAATAAAAATGGGCAGTGAGGGAAGTTTACAGAGTAGTAAAAAAATATAAACATAAAAATGATACTCTGTCAATAAATACTTTGTCACAATATTGTTGCACCAAGTTGCCATATTTGACAAAATCTTCAGCCTTGATTCTTTCCTCGGACATGTCTTTCCAGAACGTGTTCCAACCATCCTACAAGGTTAGATAAGGGAATAATGAGATAACTCTACTTTAAGTAGCCTCCAGAATTATTTATTTATTTCTCACATCAAAGAGAGCTGTGAAGTCACACAGTGTACCAAAATACAAATAGTCTACTTATATAATTGCCTTATTATGTCTGTGTGAAGTTCACTGTGTGAAGTTCACGGATAGATTTTGGTCATCAACGCGCGCATCATCATTATGATCATTATCATTATCTAATGATAATTATTTTTTTATCTACTTATATAATTGCCTTATTCTGTCTGTGTGAAGTTCACGGATAGATTTTGGTCAGAATGGATAAAATAAAAAAAGTGTCAAGGGATGAGAATCGAAACCACGAACTTCCGCTTACCGGGCAGATGCCATGACCACTAGGCTACCCTGGACATATTTTTCCGTTCATAAAGTTAATATCAAATATATTTGAACGATAGGCTCATTATTTCTTTATACCGTTATTATGCCGTTATATTATATTATATATATATTATACCGTTTTGCACAATTATTTAATCTTTTTTACATAATTTTTATATTTTCAAGACACACACAGTTTGGGGCGGGACGTTTCACAAGAGAGACATCCACGGCGCCAATTTATAATTGTAACGAATAGTATTTTAATTAAAACATTTTAAAAACACACAGTTTGGAACGGGACGTTTCACAAGAGTGACATCCATGGCGCCAATTTATAATTGTAACGAATCGGATAAAACCCGGGCGTTGCCCGGGCCATTCGTCTAGTAATTTTATAATACATGAATCTGTTTATAATATATATTCTGCTTATTAAAATAAATAAATATAAAATATAAATTTAAATTTAAAATATATGAAAATAATATTACAAATTAAAATAAATATAGGTGTATTAACCATGATACAACAATATAAAAAAGATACAAACGGTCTCAGTGAATAGATTTAGCCATTGGTTCAAAGTACAGAGAACCACACACACACACCAGAGGCAAACGCCAAAGCCTGGGGAAGAAGGCTCTTTATCAAGGGACACCATGGCCCCTGCGTGTTGACCACTTCCACGGCTGACAGCGATATATAACTCGGGTTTCTGGATCAAGGGTTATCAAGGCCATTCTCCGCCACTTTGAGCTTTCAAAGTCAAATACGCCGATTTTATCTCTATCGCCTTCACAGATAGCGAAGTCCAATTCTAGCTTTCACACCTACCGTTTGTATAACTTCTTCTCTAAGTTTGTCTGGCGGTGGCAGAGGCGCCATATTAATTTTAGATAGTGTTATGGTTACAATGGCATTTAGTCCATTTGGATATGGAAAGCGAAGACTAGAACGCGGATGATTCCACACTCGCCTTTTCAGTGATACGCTAACCTATGTACGGTGGATTCTGTGGCCACTGGACATGTGTCGGACCTGAAAGCTGTTGGGTTCTGTGCTGCCTGGAGTATAGGAGCTCTATCTATGCTTCCTTCCTGTGGTGAATCTGTATAAGACCGGTGGTCTTGATAAAACTGTATGTGTATATTTAGTTAATAGACTAAAATTGTGTCCATGGCCAATACGCTTTGATCTAAAAATGTGGTCTTGAATTTGATATGTTTTTAAAATAATAAATTGACTGTAGAAAAGTAATTGATTAAGATTAGCTTGGGAAACAGAAATTGTACTAATTATCAGTTATAAAGGACATTTATAATTGTTTTTTTTTTTTGTGATATTAACAATATTTTTTATGAAAATTAGAAACTATTAAACTGGCGAAACCGCTGTGTACTTTTGCATATTATAGAACTATTTTAGAGGCGTAATATTCTTTTTAAAATAAAACAATTTCTACTGTCCTTACTGCGATGGAAACATTAAAGGGAGGGCCTGGCTCATCAGTGGTGAACCCTCCCAGCGGTTTCGCCAGTTTAATCTACCATACCGCTGTTATATTGCATTTTTGGAACTTCCTTTTATAGGTGACTGTTGTAAGACTCTTGGAATGGGTATTTTAGAAGAACTATGGACATAAGCTTTTAGGACAGCAGAATTAAATATAATTATAAATATATAATATGCTTCGAGCAATCGCTCTTCCGCAAATATCAAATTTGCATATATTGACAAGATGTCAATAAATTTATTTTAATTGTCATTGTCTCTAAGTTTGTCTGGCGTTAAGGTTGTCGAAACCCTTTTATTTAATGGTTGTATGGGACGTTTCTACCATATGGGGGGCGAGGTCAAGTGCTATTTGATCTGTTTGCAGGTCAGTGTGCTTGTCCCAATATCTGGGGATCGATACATTTTGAAGATTAAAAATAATGAAAGCATATCTTGACCAAAAGCAAATGTGCTTTTTAGATGGCAGAGTGCCATTATTTTAAAGATTATGTAGAAGTTTCTTTCTCGGCTTCTTTCAAATGATGAGGAAAGAAGAAAAAGTAAAAAGAAGTATTTGACGTTGAGAGAGAGAGAGAATATGGCTTTACCAGCTACTAACCAAAGTATATGATTTTTGAACCCAAAAATGGATGTAACAAGCAGACAAGCCGTAATACACTGTATTAAAATATCAAGGTGCTACACACCACCAAAATTGTTCAAAAAGGTTAGATTCCCCAGGCTAGAGAAGATAAGAGACAGGTGTTGATTAGATAATAAAAGTAAATTAAACATGAAAAAAAAAGAAGACGAAACATGGTTTCGAACCAGTGACGTTTAGATCCTCAGTCTAAAGCTTTCTCAGCAAAGCTATTTCGCCTCTTAAATTACGTTGAAAGCAGCTGAGTTAGTTTCGTTCAGATTGAAGAAGTTAAGTGAAGAAATTACCACTGTGTTTGGTCAAATGCTATAAAAGTTTCAATATAGAGAGTAATTAGGATGTTATATGAACATTGAAGTTTGAATAAGTATGAAAAATTATTGCAATTATTTTTTTTTTTGCTTATCCCTAGTACACATGTGAAAAGCAGTTCGACTAAAAATTATCTGTAAAAGGTTAAACTAAAACTCTTTAGGAGAATTTTTTTTACCAATATACGGGACTAAACCCATGCAAACAATAGAATTTTTATCCTTAGTACACAGCAACAACAACTGCTTTATTAGGACATTTCCGTCCTGTAAGGTCTCGCCATACTTCATTTTCATGAAGAAAGGGGGGGGGGGGGACATAAACAAAGGAGAAAAGGGAAAATGAGAGGAAATCAAAGTATTCAACATAACTATACAAATTAACTATGGAAGGAAATTGTTCTGTAATTTTTGTTCTTAGAGATTACCTTGTTCTCTAAAGCTTTATGAAAATTAAACAATTCTATCGTTATATATTTTTCTCGGACATTATTCATCCCTAGTACACATGGTACAGGCCATGATAATCATGTTGGATAGCAGTTGGCAACTGCTTTAACTGTAAGTGTACCACATCTCAACACATGTGAAAAGCAGTTCGATTTTTGCACTTAAAAATATGCCAGAGGCCCGTTTGGTTATTTGCACTCGCTGGTAGGGTTGAACTTTCGCAAGAATCGGGTGCCATTGGAGCATTTTATTTTTAAATTAGAAAAAAAAAAGTGTCCAATGCGGTGGATTCAATCCCAGGTCATAGCGGTCGAAAACCAACAGTTTAGACCATCCTTCCACCGACCCGCTATAGAGTCCAATGAAGTGTCGGAAGAAAGGAGGGAAATATTTGATTGAAGATTGCAAGTTGAGACAATGTCAACGATGGTGAATTGATAAATGACTTGAACTTTCATCTCACCGCCCAGAAGATTTGACAGGCAGGGTGACGGTTAAATATTTCGGAAAGAGGAAACCATTCTAGGGTTGACATGTCATTTTTTTAGGAGTCATTTGATCTGATATGGCGGTAGAATTTTGAACCTTAGTTTTTCATCCCCAGGCCCCTCCAACTGTGCTTTATCTATATTCTGCTTTATGCGTCCATCGGGGCTCAAAAATCATTTATTTTGATTAGCAGCCCCATAAATAAAGATATTTCCGAACCTTAGTTCGTTTGGGAAAACCAAGAATTGTGGTAACTCTATCTGGATTGAGGTGTAGAGAGTTAAAGATATTTGAAGAGCGAAAATTTTTGTGTAACAATGTCTAACATTTGGAATAAATTTGTTATATCTTTATTCCGCTTAATGTAATAGTTTTTAAAATAAAAGATAGAGAGTAGCAATGCGTTTCTTTATTTGTTAAAAGTGAAAGCTTTCGAATCTTTATAATCCTTCCACAGGCCTAGCTATAAGTTGAGAGAATGAGAAAATATAAATTTATAATTCTCTCAACCTTGAGTTGTTCAAATTTTGGAAGACGGCTGAAGAGAAAGGGAAAAGCTATATACATAATCTAATTGATGTAAATAATTATATGTAAATAATCTTTGTCAGGATTAGAATGACGAATCCTGTATGGGACTTTGATTCCAGTAAAAGGCTTGTTGCTGCTGTTGTATATAGTCACAGTGTAGAAAATACTATACTATACCTACTACATATAGGTTTCTCTGTGTATTCTTAGTTCTCTTCTCTTCAATTACTCTGTAAACTGGCGAATCCTTTATAGGATGAGAGGTCCTCAATAAAGGCTTTTGTTGTTTGTTGTATAATTATCTCAACCTAATGCCTGTAGAAGGATTATAAAGATCCGAAAGCTTGCACTTTTAACAAATAATGAAACGCATTGCTATACTGTCTATATTTTATACTTTGAAGAAGGAATACAAGTTAACGGCGACGTGTTTATTTTATTAAAGCTGTAAATTCAGCAAGCTTTCGGACTATGACGTCCTTCGACAGGCAAATTTACAAGAAACTGAAAGATAATATTTATATACAGGTAAATATTTTATTTTGTATAATAATAATTTATTTCGCTAACAAAAGTTCTAATTATGTAAATATTTACCTGTATATATATCTTATATAAAGAAAAGATATTTTCTGCTTGTATTTAATTATCTTGAGGATTATACTATGTTAATGCAGTCGTGGTTAAAATCTTGAAAGTATGATAATAAAAATAATTTTGATCAGTAATTTAATTGAACTAAAGATATATATAAAAGAACATAATTTGATAAAGTAATGCCTGGCTTAAGGCGAGTAGAATAAGGAAAACAAAATATTACATAATGTACAAAAGTTTTGAGCCGGCCAACGGGGAAGAGAAAATATCTTTATTTACGGGGCTGCTAACAAAAGGGGGGTCGGTGGAAGGATGGCCAACGGGAAGTGTGTCTTTGGGATTCCGGGCTAATTGGCCTATCAGGTAAGGTCTTCTAGCCCCAACATGGCTGCAGAACGCGGACTGGTGGCAAGGGATCCTAAGATCAGGCAGTGGAGGCGTCATCGCAGGGGTGGAGGAAGCTGGAGAAGTCAGGGAAACAGCGCCTTGATGCAGTGAGAAGCGGGGATGGAGGCCAGATGAGGAGGCAGGAGGTCCTGGAAGCCTAGAACTTGAGGGCTCTAGACTTCAAGATGGGGCAGCTTGAGGCTCTCGCATCGTGCTTGTCAGCAAGGCCCTTGGCGCAGCAGTTGGCACACTTGGAGGTGCGCTGGTCGGCAATGGATGGGCAGGCAGGCCTTTGTGGCCGTCTTCACCGCAGTGGAAGCACTTAGGAGCTCTGGCGCATTGGGCAGAGTTGTGGCCGAAGCCACAGCAGCGGAAGCAGACGCGGGCTCGGATGGATTCCTCGAAGTTAAGGATCACTCCATCCACCACGATCCTTCCGCGAATGCCCAGGGCTTGGAAGGTCGTGAGGTCCACCTCGATGAAGGCGGTGCAGGTCCCGTTTCTGGGTCCAGAACGGTGCGCCACGCGCACCACCTTGTCCCCAGTAAGCTGTTTGAATGCAGCGGTTTTCAGGAATGTCTCCTCAATGGTGGAGTTGGATGTTTCCTCATCCACTTTGAAGAGGCAGATGCGTGACAGGATCTCCTTCTGTTGGCGGACCTTCATACCATCCAGCTTGTTGGCCAGGGAGGTGGTAACAGCTGGGATGGTGTCGGGGTTGCTGGAGTGGAGGACAAGCTTCCCCTTGGTGCGCAGGGAAGCCCAGACGTCTTGGGGGAGAGTGTAGGCAGCGTGGACAGCTTTTAGCATCTCCCTGGGGTCGGCCTGCGGGTTATCAGAAATAACCACTGTGTGGGCCGCCGATTTCTCTCCGTGGAGGGTCACTCGGGCGGCCGCCGGCTTGGGAGCGCGGGAAGGAACAGGTTTGGCAGGACCTTGTAGGTTTGTCTTCTTTGCTCAAGTCTCAGTGGAGACTTTTCCGGGCACACTGTATCTAAAACGTCAAGGCAGCAGACGCGATGTCAGGTGGCCAGGGATCCTAGGATCTGGCGGCTGGAGATATCTCGCAGGGGTGGTGGAAACGTTCAGGGGAACGTGCCAGGGTGCAGCGGGGCAGGAGTCTTGAATTGTCCAGGAATCCGGTAGAAGTGGCAGATGGAAATAGGAGGCAGAAGGTCCTTGAAGCCTAGAACTTGAGGGCCCTAGACTTCAGGATGGGGCAGCTTGAGGCTCTCGCTTCGTGCTTGTCTGGAAGGCCCTTTGAGCAGCAGTTGGCACATTTGGAGGTGCGCTGGTCAGCAATGGAAGGGCAGGCGCGGCCTTCATGGCCGTCTTCACCGTAGTGGAAGCACTTAGAAGCTCTGGTGCATTGGGCAGAGTTGTGGCCGAAGCCACAACAGCGGAAGCATACGCGGGCGCGGATGGACTCCTCGAAGTTGAGGATTACTCCATCCACCACGATTCTTCCGCGAACGCCCAGGGCTCTGAAGGTCTTGATGTCCACCTCGATGAAGGCGGTGCAGGTCCCGTTTCTGTGTGCCGAACGGTGCGCCACGCGCACCACTTTGCCCCCAGGAAGTTTACTAACAGCTGCGGTTCCCAGGAAGGTCTCCTCAATTGTGGAGTTGGATGTTTCCTCATCCACTTTGAAGAGGCAGATTCGTGGCAGGATCTCCTTCTGCTGGCGGACCTTCATTCCATTTAACTTGCTGGCCAGGGAGGTAGACACCTCAGGGATGGTGTCGGAATTGCTGGAGTGGAGGACCAGCTTCCCCTTGGTGCGCAGGGAGGCCCAAACGCCTTGGGGGAGAGTGTGGGCAGCGCGGACAGCTTTAAGCATCTTCCTTGGGTCAGCCTGTGGGTCATCAGAGATGACCACTGTGTGGGCCGCCGATTTTTCTCCATGGAGGACCACTTGGGCGGCCGCAGGCTTGGAGACGCGGGAAGGCGCAGGTTTGGTAGGACCTTTCAGGTTTGTCCTTTTTGCAGGCGGGTTGGGAGCCTCAGGCTGCTTCCTTTTGGTTGGAGCAGGGGCAGGCAAGGTGGAGGCAGGCTTCTTGGCAGGGATGGCAGCAGGAGCAGGAGTGGCGGGTTTGATAAGTCAGTCTGGGAGCTGGTTTCCTTGCAGGAAGGAGCAGGGCAGGTTTGGGTGCTGTGGCAGGCAGTCTGAGGCCTGTTAGCCTCCATAACTTCGTCCAGCTCCGCGAAGGAATGGAGAAAAATAACAACAACGAGTTTTTATATTCAAAACGTGACCTCTGGCGGTCGATTTAACAGAATATTTGTATCTATGAAATATAATTCCAAATAAAATAATATTTTAATATAACATATAAATATTATCTTTCAGTTTTTTGAAAATTTGCCTGTCGAAGGACGTCAAAGTCCGAAAGCTTGTCGTTTATACAGCACAAATAAAAGAAACACGTCGCCGTTAACTTTTGTTCCTTCTTC